GAACTTAAACAATTCTGAGAATGATTCAGGAGACTTAAAAGAATGCACCTCATTCCCCCAAAGCTGCAACGCTGAAAGAGGAGCCAAAACTAGTGGTAACTTATTTTGCCAATGAAGTCAGCAGATACAGCTCTGCATATGCACAGAGAGCAGATTTATGGAGTGAGAAGGTGCCACTGATGATTGATAAATCTTCTTGGAAGTTTTCATTCTCAGCAAACCCAAGCAGTTCATTTAAATTAACTCCTTGACCAGAATCCAAGAACTGACACATTTGTGACATGCCATGCTGTATCCACCAGTTGAGAAGTTTTGTAACACAAGAGTGCAACAATGTAGAAAAATTTATCTATGGATGGAAGCATTCTTTGGCAATCAGGCTTCAGTCTGACAATAAAGTCACAGATTCAGCTGACAATGAGTGTTTGTTTGCTCATGGGACTCTGGCTTCTGAAATTATTAACTGGGGTGAGTGTCCCACTGTAGGTTATTTGATTCTTTTTGGTCTTGATTTGTTACATTCTTGGAAATACATGCATTACAAAGAGGTTCATACTAATTGATATAAACTCATTGTGAAACTATTTAGCAATAGATCAATAGATATTTTTAAGTTAATCTATTTGCATCTATGCCAGTATACTGTCTCTATATTAAATATACAAATCTGTTAATGTTGCAAAATCAAGCCCTCAAAAATGAGGAACTGCCAGAATGAAGGTTGTTTGTACAACCTTAATTTGAATCCCTAGTGCAAGAGCACTAAGATAGCAGTTAAATTTAGCACTTTTTTTTCCTATTTTTCCCCCTGGACTTCTAATAATTCAACACACAGGATGGGTGATGGTCACCTAAAGAGCACACTTTATTTTCAGTTCAATATTTTGTTTTCTCTTCATTGTTCACTGTGTAGCCCCTAGGCCTTAGTTACCAAACACTATTCATAGCCTGAGTACAGGGTACAGAATTACTAATTTCCTCATTTTTTTTCTACAAAGTAAAGTGATATTGCTACCCACATGTAACAGAGATTGTAATCAGAAGTGTCCATTAATTTTAGGTGGTTCACTTGAGATGCCTATGGCCTTATTTTTTCAGGGTATTTAGCATTTTATAGCACTTCCAGTAAGGGGAATTTGAACTCCTGAGTCTCCTGCCTAATAGGCATGAAGGGAAAAAAAATCTCAGGTCTGTTATCATCAATGGTAAAACAGCCATTGTATTCAGTAAGGTTGGGATTTTACTCCATGATGCCAAAATCTGTCTTCAGTAAAAGCATCAATGAAAAGTATGCAGGATCCATATCTAGGATTCTAAAGTAATTTTCATATTGCTCTAATTAAGTGATCATGTCTGTGCAAGGGAATGTTATCTTAGGATAATGGTCTCCTGCTGCTACATAAATGTTGAGGCAGAGCTGGAGGCATTTATGGAAAAAATGCTGGAGCATGATATTTACTTTCAAAGCAGGAGGCATCGATCCTCTCCCTATGTTCTGTTCCAGAGACTTTGTTTCCATATGGATGATCGGAATATTTATCTAATAATTTCCTGGGCTGGATGTTGGTGCAGCAAGGTAACAGATGTTCCCCATACATCTATTGACCTGCAGCACAGTGATTAGTTTAGAAAGATGTATTATGTGATTCAGTCAGTCAGAACAGTTTATCCATAAATGTGTGTACAGGGAAATATGGCAGTGGCTAGAGGCGGGGAGGACCTGGTTTTTTGCTAAATAAGTGTCCCTTAAGCATCCCATTAATTCGCATTGATTTAGCTTAGCATACTTTTCATTAACAATCGGAACTTTACTGTTTACTCCTTACTTTCTCTTTATATGAACAGAAGAGCTGCACATATGCAAGCATGGTGCATTTTTCTTGGGCCAGGACAGATCCACAGGCCTTGAAAAGTCCAAGTAGTTGATGGAAAATTTTTCCTGGGGAGACCTAATGCATCAATTTCTGCATAATTAAAGTTGGCATTGACAGATATGTTTCTGATGCACATATATGCAAAGAATCTTCAAACTGTGTTCCAAATGTTAAGTGATGTCTTTCCTGAAGCTGCTGGCAAATCCAAATAAAGGCTGGTGCCTTTCCTGCTGCTGCTGCTGCTGCTGCTGCTGCTCAGAACTTGGCCAAGCAACAGAAAAAAGTTAATAAATTAAATCAATCAGTATCATTGCTCATTTTCAGAACGGTGTGGACAACAGTGTAACAAAATTGATTGCATGCTGATGCTGCTTGGGGAAGCTGTAAGAAGCAACACAGCTTGGCAATAGAGCTACTAAAAGGAGGGGAAGCCTTAAAAAGAAGATCTCAGGGGGGGAAAAAAACTAGTAGAGCCATCTTCCATGCAGTCTTCTTGCAACAACCTAGGAATCAAGGAGATGGGGAGAATAGTGGAAATCCTCTCTCACCTCAGACAGGAGCTTCTGCTGCGGAAGAGAGAAGCAAGAAGCTACTTTTCCTGCCAGAAACTATACAGTAGGCAGTGTTTAAAACATTCTAGATGGTTAATCTGGGGGGTCACCCGCAGAAGCCGCCGATGGAGGCGGCCCTGTCACGTGGGGCACCAGCCCTACTGACAGCATCAGTGTCAGCTGTCAGGGGGGGCACTGGCCCCGTCAGAGGGGGCACGTGCACCCCCGAGCACCCACTACAAGTCACCTATGGAAGCAGGGCTACAGAAAGTCACTCTTCTCAAAATCACAACACTGTTCCTTTTCCTAACAGCTAAGACGGGTGATGAAGTTTTTCACCAGTGCACAACCTACAGTTCAACCCCTCATATTTTATATCTGCTACTGGTTGGTAGGTTTAAGACTTCCAGCAAATTTACCAGCTGGAAATTTGTCAGGCTCTGCTGTTTTCTCTGATTCCTCCATCAGCTCAGGGAAAGCATAACAAATGGCCTAACAAAAAGGGACTTATCCTCACCACTGTCTTAAAAATACTCAAAGAACATTTAAAAGAGATTATTGTTACTTACTCTTTGTACAGGTCCCCATCTGAGATCCATGTATATTAAATCATTGTTATAGTACAGGAATGACTGAGTTCAAAGGCTGGGGCAGTGCTATAAACTAACGATATATGAACTATAAAGAAAATCATAAAGTGATTAATTTGGGACAGAGAAAAACAACGTCAAGATGTTTTATCATGATCAAAACAAAAAAGCCACTGTTTGAGGTGGTTCCCTGGACAGTTTGAAAAAGACATACAGTTTTGCATGAGGAAAATCCACTGCCCAGTACCCAGCTGAGCAACTTATGGGTCCTGGGAATCTGCAGGGGGAAGATGATGAAGGTTCCTCTTTCCTCAGCCTGAAAAGCAACAAGAGACCACTGGCTGGAGTAACCTCCATCATTCTAACCCCCAATTATAGCCAATGAGAACCAGAGGATCTCAGTGTCTCTGGATTTGGGTGCCTAATCATTAGCACTCAAGTACAAAACATTCAGCTTAGGTGACTTAACCAAAGCCACATAGGAGTTGGTGTCAGAGCTCAGATTTGTCCCTTGTTCCAGGTCCCCAGTACATTGTGGGCCTCGTTACCCACCTACTTGGTCTCCCATTCTTGTGTTTAGTGTTCATGTTAGCTGCTCAGCCAAAAGTGTGGCTTGTAGCCTCAGCTGATCCTTGAGCCAACAATGATAGCCTGAGTGGCACTGCACCCCACAAATAGCTTAGGGTCTTCCCATATGTCCTATGGCTGTGATTTATCCTTTAAAAGCCAACCCTAATCAGGTTTGAGGCAGCTGTGGAAATACCAGGGTCCAGATTTCAATACTAACAACCAATCTGTATTGTTTCTAGTTACAAAGCCATCTTCTCCAGGAAAAGTACTTGACATTTACTTTTAAAAATAGTCAGTTTCTCTTCTACATTCCCTGGAATCTCCAAAATTAGGAAGGGCTTTTGTCCACAGGATGTGCAATATGCAAAGAATGGGTCAGCTTCCCTTTCTTTGAGCAAACTCTTCCCTACTACTTCTTCAGGTGCAGTGCTGCTACAGGCCAACAGCCTCCTACAAAACATCATTGTTAAAAGGCCCCCCACCCCCTCAGCAAGACACTGAGGGCTGTTATGCAGTAAGAGCTGGTAAAAGTGAAATCAGAGATGAAAGTGGTGGTGATGGACAGTATACTCAGTGGCTGTAAGTGGCATATAAGTCAGTATACTTAGTGGCTATCAGCAAAAATAAGACATGCAGCGTTTTCTGACTGCAATGTCATTTCAAGTGGAAGGTTTTCCTTTAAGAACCATGATGAGCAGGATTTGGGACACTGAGTCTTCAGTGTAATTCCATTAAACTTGGTACTTTACCCCATAAGGTCTGGAATATAGATCAGTGACAAGACTCCTACTGTAACAAGGAGTTCTTTAATAGGGGATTTTAAGTTCTTACATTCATGTGTATATTACTAAAATGGCCTCAGGATCTTCTGTTATCACAGTTCAGGACAAATGCCTTTTCCCTTTATCATTCTACTTAAAAACAATAGGATTTTAAGGAAGAGCAGTTTGTGCTATGAATTATTTAATTAATCAAAAGGTGATCTTCATGAAGGGGGTGTAGTGGCTGAGCAGCTAAGGTGTCTCACTGTTAGAGAAATGTGAGTTCAAGCTCTGCTTTGGACCTGTGGCAGAGGCTACCCCTAAGTTCACCTGGCTGTACATGGATGGATGGTCATTAGGTTGACCCAGGAGTCAAAGGCAGCTGGATGTGATGCTGGCCATGTCACTTCTTTGTGTGCCACTGGCTAAACTGGGGTGCCTTAGCCATATTAGGCTCAGGTGGCTCTTTCTTAAACAGCTGTATACACCCTTTCTGAGCAATAACATATGGACTTGTATGTATGAACTTGTCACCTGCTAGCACAAGTATTTGCCAGTGCTTGAAACAAGCCTCTGCCTTTACATGCACAAATAATGGAAGATCCTTTGAGAAAGTGACCTTTTAATTATATTTAATATTCCACAAGAGTCATCTAAAAACAAAGTGGGACTTTATTTATATGGAAAAGCCACACTCTCAGAAGAAAAAGCAATGAAAAACAAAATTCAGCTGCACTTTATAAAGAGAGGAAAAAGAAAATATTCAGTTAACATAAACTCAGCAACAGATCCATCACATTTCAGATTTCCCCAGGCACTAGCTCATAGGCCAATTTTGCATTCAAGATTGTAGCAATTTTCTCATCCACCTCATAATGCCTTGGAAGGGAGGAAGGAGAGAATAAATCCTCATCCCTGCATTTCCTCATACTGTGTGCGTCTCGTGTATCCAAACTTTCCAGCTGTTAGTTGCTTCTCAGACCTTCCCTCTAGGTCTTGCCTTCAGTGAATGTCACTTAATTTGGGTTCTACAGGGTTTCTTAAGGCCCACATATCAACTGCCCTGTAAACCTAGTACAGCTGCCCTTCTCCCCCAGCTGCCTCCTTACAGGCAAGATCTTACATGACTTAAGTCTATGGATTTTTTTTGTCATTAATTTAAATTACAGCAAGATTGGACCTACCAAGAATTTCCTCCCTGTTCTTAACCCATTAATATTTGTCCCATTCAGGGATTAGGGCTTCATTATTTCAGGCATTGTAAAACAAAGCAGTGGTCCAGCCCCAAGCACTCTAGAGCACAAACCCAAAGAAGCTAGAAATGCATCCTGGTGAGTTACCTCAACAGCCCCTCCATGTAATCTATCTTAATGTCTGCAGTGCCTAATTTTTGCAGTTGCTATCCAAGACAATTAAATTAAGGAAGATAAATCACATTATGGCTCCAGAGAGGCAACAGTTTGAGAAACCATTTTAAAAAGTCATTTAAAACAAATGCATCAAGATAAATGGGTTAATCTTTGCTTCACACTCAAATGACACAGATCTTTTTTTTTTAACGAAGTATACTGGTTTCATACCTTGATCTCTTTCCAGTGAAACCCTCCTTCCCATACCTGCACTTTTTAATTTTCCCCATCCTCTTTCCTGGTCTAAATTTGCAGGGTTTTGCCTTTCCTCACAAACTAAATGCCCGATCTCCACTAGAAAAAGTAACTATTGCTGACAAAGGAATTCAGCGCCAGTTCAGGTTAACCTGGTTTAAATGCAAGTGAAGACTGGGATAAACCACATCCTATGGTTCCCCGTTTTCTGAAAGGTGTTCTATCCAGCTCCACACCTGCTGTCAAAACATGCTAGTGAGATTCTGATGAATGCACTGTTGATACCAGTTGTCAGCAATGGGTAATTTTTTGAGAGTAGATTAAGCCTAAAATGGGTGAAAGACTCTCACTTCAGAGCCAAACCAATGTTGTTCTTGAAATAACTTAGCACATAATCACAGAGCGAATGACTGAAGGCATTTCATCTCTTTTCCAAAGGAATAAATGTACTGCCTCAACAATGTTGCCACACTGTTAGTGGTAGAGCATGAGTCTAAGCAGACACAGGAGAACCTGGGAAGATGCCATGACATGTCCAGATGCACCAGAAGCACAAATTCTTTGCAATGCTTTATGTGAATTAAGCAACCCCAAAGTCAAATTTGAGCTGTACAGAAGCATCCTGTGCTCGGACACGCTGAATAGTGGAAGGAAAGTTTTAGAATGGGCTAGGATGGCCTGAGCAGACATAATAACCTAAGACTGGATTGCAAAAATGATAGGCCTATATTACAAAGGACAATTTAGATAATATTAGAAATGAAAAAATCTAGCAGTAAATTTGTTTGTTTAATTTTTGCATTTCTCTCATTTTAGGAAATGAAATACTTTTCGCTTTTGTTTATATTCAAGTTCTCAAACTTTGGATTGCAAATACTGAAGCAGGGAGGTGTTCTTAAAAGAAATAATAAACCTGTTTGTTTTTTTGACTGGTTTTATTCAATTTGTAAAAACCTGGCGCTTTGTTTTGGGGGTGGGATTCTCAAGAGGACTCAGCAGTAATCTGATTCTTCTCCATTGAGCTCAATGCCAGGAATGAGTACTTCCAAAAACTCACTTTTACAAAATTTAACTTTTGGAGCAAATTTCAGTTGACAGTGAACCTTCAATGTTCATGTTTACAATGCTCTGAGTTACCAAGCAGCAATGCAACAAATCGTATATCCATGAAAACAGCAGAAGAACCTATATTATTTCAAACTATTATTTTTGTCATCCTGAAATTAGGGGAATTGTCCTTTCCAGTTCAAAGGGATCAGATCATTCAACTGTGTTTGAAGTTTCTTAATCTTGTAGTTTTAAGAAGGAATTCAATTTTAATTTTTGCCTAGAGTCACTTCCAATATCAAATTATATTTAAGTACTAACATGTACTATTTGGTTTAGAAATATAAACGAATGTGCATGTACATAAATAGGGAAAAAAGACAAAGAAGTATTTGACAAATGCACAAGAAGACAAATAAGTATTTCATCCCTTTTACAGGAAAAAATAGAGAGAGAGGCCTGGAAACAATTTATGTTTCCTTTCATGAATTTTCCTACAGATTGAGATAGAAGGGAGAGAAATGTTTTCTATAATTGTTTTAAACAGGGAGAGGAACCTAACGTGATCCCTCTCAGTTAGCATATTAATTATATTGTATCTTGTCTGAGAGAAAGTTCAGTGCTGAAGAGAAACACAATAAGGGAGAGCTCATGGCCTAAACAAAGTAATTTAAACAAAGCATTGTAAATGAGGTGTAGGGCAACAAACCAGCAAAAAAAACTTGCTATGATAGAGATGTACCTATAGGTCTCTCCATATAAAATATTTAGACAACCTCCTTAATGTTTTACTACCTTTCATGTCTCCACATTAATCCTTTTCATATTGATGGTTCCCAAACACATCCTATGCCAAGAAACGGACTTTGTGCAGAGAAAATCCATTTTCTAGCGCCAAAGATATTAATAATTAACGTATATACTATGAAACTGGCAATACCAGTTTGTTAAAATAAAGGCTGAGCATTTTATTATTATTTTAGAATTTAATTTAGTCATCAGAGGTTAAGCAGACATGTTTATAAATTATACAGGGCAGGGACTTAACTCTGCTGGATCGACCTGTTTTGGAATAATGACTGTACAAATAGGGAGGTTCATAACCTTGTTTGAATATCTGGCCAACCTTGAAAGAAGATGATTTACAAGATTGACATACCCTCATCATTTCAAGAATCTGTGTCTGAGAACAAGATTTCCCTCTGCAAAGCAAACAGCAGAGCAACTTGGTAAGGCACTGCTAGAAGCGGTAACTTCGGTTTATCTAAGAATCATACTTACAAAAGGTAAGAGAAAAGTCTGCCAGTAGGGCACAGCTTTTAGGGAAAAAAATTAGTTACATGCTGCACAAAAATATGGGTATCTTGAAACTACCTAAGTCATCACTAGCCACGCTATAGCACACTCTAGGTTTGCCTTCTGGCATATGCTTTTGGAAAATCCCGGTCCCATTTTAGAAGTACATAACCAGGGTCACCCAAGCGTCAAGCATAATTTTAAAGAGCTTTAAAAATTTCACCTGGCGCGTAAGTGATTTTGAAGAACAGATCCCGCTGAAATCAGAAGACTTACATTCCTGTACCACTTTGATCCTTTTGAAAATCTCAGCAAGACTACTTTCCAAGACTACTGCTGCCAATCACCAATATTTTATAAAGCGGTACTTTTTTTGTAATTACTTGACATAAAAGTAGCCAAATTATTTCCTGGCACTTTAAATTAGCAGACAAAGCAATTAATGAGAGTTACGTAATCTCATGCCACAGAGAGAAGAACAGGTCAGAATGAAGCTGGAACCCCTGGAATTTTACAGCACAGCATTTCTGGTCTCGTTTCTGATAAAATGTCTCCAGAAGTCAAAGACATGCCCAGAGCAACTGTTGCCAGCTGTAAAATGCCAAAGCAAATAAAAACACTGGGCCATATATATTTGTGCATGGAACAGCTTTTGCGTGCTACTTCCCAAGCCTGCTCTTTGATTCTTGTGCCGGTTCGTTGGGAGGGAACAGAGCAGGAAGAATTTTGAGGACAAAAAGTCGACTCTCCTGCCACTTCCATATCCAAAGGTTTTGACTATATTACAGTATTTCCCTGCAGTTATGTACAAGTCACTTTTCACTTAGCGTCTAGATAATAGCTTTCCTCTGTAAAAGAGAAAAAGACCCATGCGAAACCAAGGTACGCCAGTAGTGCCATAATGGCATGCTCGATGCACTCGAGGTTGTTGACTGTGCAGCAGCTGTAGGAGCAGGACATCTGTGCGGGCACCAGTGCAGAAACAGGCAGTGTCACGACTGAACACTGCCTGTTGCGGAACCTGTTGCAGCCCATGCGGAAGAGCAGGTTATCGACCCTGGTGAGGACAAAGACATGTGTCTTTGATTTCTACCACGCCTGCAATTTTCAGTCTCTGGAGTTAACCTTCCAGACATGAACTGACGCCGAACTGTGGTCCTGAGCCTGCAGGCAGGGCGGTCCAGTCACTCTGCGATGCCGCAGAGTGGTGCCAAGCACTGGCCGAGGGAGATCGGTGACGGAGCTGCGATCTGTGTCAGCGAGAGCAGTGAGGCCCTGGCGGGCGGCAGGGAACTGGCTCCTAGAGCACCAAGAGAAGCAAGGGCCCGCGTTATTCATAGGAGAGGAGGCTCCCAGCAAAATAAAGCTGAAGGGGCAACAAGCACCAGGCAGCAAGGGGCAGGAGGCGCCTCCAGCCAGGACCCAGCTTAAAAGCCGGTGTTAGGTGGCAGTGGTGCGGCGCTGGGACAGGGCTGGCCCGGCCTCAAGTGCCTCTGGGTCGGGGGTCGCACTTCCCCGCTGTGGCTCTGAGAGAGGGAGGGGGCAAAGCCCTCGGACACCAGCCCCGTCCCCGGGCCTGGGCCGCCGCCTGCTCCGTGACTCTAACCTCGGTTCCCGCTTCCCCGCCCGGGGACCGACAGGGGGGAGGGGGCTCTGGTGTCACTCGCTCCGCACTGGGCGCGGGGCCGTTTGCCCAGAAGGGGGGGATCCCCTCCCCCCCCAGCTCAGGTGCGTGAGTCCCAACGGCG